TTCTTACTATCTCCAGGTACAGCAGGGCTGGTTTCAGCAAACTTGAGATTTTCCCAGTCAGTGGACGTGTGGTCAAGTGATGTCTGCCAAGAAAGGAAGCCAGGGGTTTATGTTTTTATTCATTCACAGGATGTGGGCATTGCAATTGCCCATTAGGAGTCAATCACTTGCTGTATGGACTCCAGTCACATTTACGTCACACCCAGGTGAGGATGGCAGGTTCCTTCCCTAAAGGACATTAGTGAACCAGGCAATCAATTCTTAATTCCAGATTTGTTATTGAATTCACATTCTACTATCTGCTGTGGCAGGGTTTGAAATGCTAAATGGTGCTTTGTTCCACCAGAGGGCCAAACACAGTTCAGCTCATTTAATCTTCCCTGATAACAACACAGGCTTGCCCAGCAGTGGTTAGAGTCATTGAGTTCCACAGCACAAGAAGAGACCCATGGGACCCATTGAGTCTGTCTGGTCAAAAAAACCCACCTAACTACTCTAATTCCATTTTCCAGCACTTGGCTCACAGCCTTGTATGCCTTTGCATCGCACGTGCACATCTAAATATTCTTCAATGTTATGAGGGTTTCTGCCTCTCCTGCCCTTATAGGTTCCCAGCATCCTCTGGGTGAAAAAGTTGTTCCTCACATCCCCCTCAACCTTCTGGCCCTTCTCTCAAATCTATTACCCCCAGTCATTGATCCCTCTACCAAGGGGAAAAGTTTCTTCCTGTCTATTCCCTCCCTAATGTTATAAGTCTCAATCGTGTCACCCTTCAGTCTCTTCTGCTATAAGGAAAATAACCCCAGTCTGTCCAATCTCTCATTACTGAAACTCTCCAGCCCAGACAATAACCTGGTAAATCTCTGCATGCTCTCCAGTTCAATCACGTCCCTCTTATAATGTAGATTTCAGAACTGCACGCAATAATCTGGCTATGGTCCGCCCAACGTTTTATACAGTTCTGGCATAATCTTTCTGCTCTTAAACTCTTGGCTAATAAAGGCAAGTATCTCAAGCTTTCATAGCCACTTTATCTATGTTCTGCTTCCTTAAGCGACCGATAGACACGGACACCATGGTCCCTCTGATCCTGGGTGCTGGATAGCAATAATAATCCAGTCCCTGGCTGTTTTTCTCTCTCTCCATGCAATGGAAATGGCAGTGAAAACAAATGAAAAATACTGCAGCTGCAGCTATGGTTCAGCATGCCCACCCCCATGATTCCAGAATCCTTTGCACCGATGTGATGGGATTGCTGCGTATCTGAAACAGTTACATTTATAAAATGCACATAAGTAACTTGTGGGTGATGTGGTTTGTTGGAGGCTGATGCTTAAGAGAGGTAATGGAGTGGTTGTGAGGTGAATGCTGTTTGATGTAGCCTGATGGTTGACATTTGGCCAATAGAGGCTGTGTTATATAAATGGAAAAGCTGGTGGCTCTGAATTTGGTGGTGGCAGGAAGGGAGCTGCATGATACAATGTGACTGCTTTTCTTTTGATTATCTATCTGATTGACCAGTACTATTCCTCTGAAAAAAAGTGATGTGGTTCTCTGGTTCACATTAGCAAGCTCTGCAGGATTGCTTCTATGCAGTGTAGCGGTGTCAAGGCAAATTGACATAGAGACTTTGCACAGTGAAACATTTAGCAAACTTTATTTTGGAATCCTTGCATGATGCTAGTCTTGTTCTTCCACTACGATAGACTGAAGACAATGCCTCCAGACACCAGCAACAGATACAAACTTTCGCAGTGGATGTGCCTTCTCCATAATGACATTAGCAAGCGAATAGGAAAACCAGAATTTGACTGCTCAAAGGTGGATGAGCGATGGAGGGATGGATGGAAAGATGGTTCATGTGATTGATTTAAAAAGTTCTCATTTTATTTTGACTCTGACCTACTTGATATTTTTCTCCCTGATCTTGACAACATGCTGTTTACTCGGTTTGATTATGTTGAAATTACAAAATATGTTACCTTAATTTTCCCCACTTATTTCTACATTCTTGCCTCACTATTCTCAAATTAATACCGATGATCTCTCAACACGCTCCCTCACCTGGAAACATGGGAGACTGGTAAAGGAATAATTTCACTTTAAATATTTGCTCTTATCTCTTTATCCTCTAGGGGGTGCAGTTGCTTCAGGATAGTGATTTGTTTCTGTGGCAAAGTCTCGCTTCTTCCTGATATTTGAAAATGTCTCCATCCAACTGAAGTGATAATTTCGAATATTTGGTTTAATTTTGATGTTAAACAGGTAATACTGAGTTACATTGGCACGGGGAGAATCACAAATATCTTTACTTGGCCGAGCACTAATAAACCAAGCATTGGGTAATTAACTTTCAGTATACCTGTCAAAGGGTATTTATAAAATGCCAATTAATTAGTAAATCTGCAATAGTTGGGATAAAGTAATTTTGATCTCTGTGAAATGACACAATCAACAGCAAACAGAAACAAATTGCATCAATTGAATAAGGTTTTTTCCCCACAAAGAATGACATTTAGTGCAACTATTTTACATCTGTACTAATACATTTTCAAGCCTGGTCTTGGACGCCATGGATTATATGTGACAGTTAATGTTGGCGTTACAATTAGATATGTTTGTGATTGCACTGAAAAGCAATTAAGACATTGCAATATGCATTTACATTGCAATATGTGAATTGTGCAATTTATGCATTATCTGTCATCTATCACACCAACTTCACATTGCCTGCCATTGCATTAACAGTTCTAAACTATCAAAGACATTTTTAGATTCATTCCAAGATTTTATGAGTAACTATATGACTTGAAGAATATACGTCTGAAATATGCCTTGTGATGACACAGATGATGATCCTTAATGGCAGGCTACACTTCCAGAAGCTTTCATCTGAATACTGTACCTTATTTTCACAGCTGAAAGACACTACAGATATAATGGGATAATGTTAAAACAAAGGAATGGAGGACTTATATAAAACTCAGACAAGTTGCAATAAGGTATTTGCACTAAATTTATACAAATGCAACTTAACTGGGCTGGTTGTAGAGTATCTGCTAAGATTGGGAGTTTGAATAACTCAGCTATCAATCATCATCAAAAGATTATTTCTTTAAATGACCATACTTAATGTGTCCCTAAGGTCTATATGTAGCATCCTACTGTTGTAAAGTTTCATTTCTGGGAGGAAGTACACTCTACAACACACTGGCTGTTAAAAATCAGTCATTTTGAGTCCCCAGCTGTGGGTGCAGGAAATTAATAAAATTTAAAATTATTTTGTAAAAATATGCAAAGCTGTGTACGCTGCAGCTGTAGATATTTACTGGTAATTACGTATAGCATGTTGTTTTCAACTGCTAAAAGGCTTTTAATTTGTAGTTATTTTGTGAATTTGTTTGTTTGTCACGAGTTACGTTGTGTTGAGTCTAGATATGTGCACATTATCTTGATGAATTAGCTGAATTGCTCTCTGTTAAATATGACAACTGAGCACCACTCTCAATCGGTGCCTGAAGCACACTGAGAGTGGAAATGTGCTATTTGATAATATAGTGGATACCTTTTTAGCTGATAGTCTGCCTACGTTTTATATATTAACTAATATATATATAAGCAGGAAAGTGTGTAGGAGAGTTGGTCATTTACCATGAGGCATTGACTGGCTTAGACAGTACATCTTATGAGATTGCCACTGGACTTGGTGGTAGAGAAGGCATTTAAATATTCTAAGCAATATGGGGGAGCTGAAGAACTGTTGCCATTTGATATATTGAAGAGACCCTATAATGTGCAGTTAAAAATACATGTCCCTCCATTTTAAATCAAGTGATTAGATTGTGGGAACTCAATGTTCATTGGTGTTCACTATAACTCCCAATTTAGGATGTGGGAGAAAAGCTGTCAATCTCAGTTTTGAATGCTGGTCCATCATTTAAGGGAATTCACTATTGCTGAGTTCAAAGTTGCTAAAGTACTGAAAGGTTTGGCATTCTGCACTCCGTACTATGGCATTCTTGAGTACTAGGCTTCAGTCACTGCATTACCTTGTTCTTTCTGCATCAACTTAAAAGTACTTTTTTATCTTTGTGTATCTTCTGGAGTACCCGTCTATGTTGATCATAAGCCTACAACTGGAATTTCTTACAAGAGTTTTGAATAGTCAATGTGTTTAAGGCAAACCGAAGTAAGATATTTAATATTGCACTAATTTTGAAGAAGTGAGCACAAAGTCTAAATGATAGAAGCAATTGCATGCAAACAAATTCTTGTTACTGCTGTGATACTTGAACATACTGTAATATTTGGACGGGATGTTTACTTTTTTGCAAAAAGTCCTTGTACATGTTCTGGATTTGTCATTATATAAGAAACATCAAGGGTAGCCTATCTGCAAATGACTAACTTTAATAATTATATTGTTCATATACAATAATGTACCTATCACGCCAGATTCTGTACAGTGTGATGTGAGAGAAACCCAGTCTACAACAGCCAATACATTCGCAATTTCTTCTACTGTTTCCATTCTAAAATCTACCTTAGCAAATGAGAGTTTTTTTAAAAATAGAATAACAGGTTTTATTTGTTCAAATAACAGCTACTTACAATGAGACCATTTTTCCAAGATTTTGATTTGAGGTGTAAATAATTGAAATAATGCTGTTTAAATTTAGTATGCTAGATTATGAATTTAAGATTACCAGATGGACAGTTTTATTTGATCTTCCTCTTTTGGAAAGCCAACTCTTTTCCCTACTTAGCTGATTCTTAAATAAGCCCCAATATCTGTGCCTCAAACATACAGCCATTGACTGCCCTCTTTAAATTCTTCATAACCCCATAACTGTTCCCTTGGGTGTATCTGGATATCTTTTTGAGGTTTATTTATGTGGCCTGTTTAGCTGTGTTGTATATATCCTAAGACCATCTCTGGGACTCATTTTGAAGCTGAATGTCACCAGCTCTTTGTTCTGAGTTGGGAGACCAGTCTTTTTTCCTTATGGATTGCTCTATTATGTTGTGCCAAATAGGAAAGGTAAATGCTTGACTGTGAAATGGGGTTTTCAACTGAATAAACTCGACAACATAACCCAGAACAAGTTCAGCACTCTACAGCTTTCTGGACTCAAAGTTGAGTTCAATAGCCTTCAATTACATTTGATTCCATTTCGTTCTTTTTTTTAATCCTCCAATTTTTGTTTTGCAGGGTTTGTCTTGTCTAGTTTCTTTTCTCATTCCTACATGTTACATTCAGAAGGTTTTTATATTTAAAAAAAAAGTCATGCTTCGTGTAATGTAATACTTACACCCTAATTTTCCTGACAAGGGTGTTGTTTGGCCATCTCACATCACTGCAGACTGTTGTGCAGTTTCATCCAGAGTGCTATTAGTCAAGATTTTGATGCGACAATGGTAATGGAATATTTTATATATAAAACTATGTATTTATTTCTGCATTCCTGGCAAGACAATGTTTTGAGTTGGCATTTGCTCGTCTTTACAGGAAACTGAGAGACAGCTCACGTAACAACATTAAAAATCCTTTCTTTGTCATATTTAATTCAAAATAATCACAATTAAAAATGAAATCTCCACCAGAGGAAACAATGGTTGTATTGGATGGTAACAGGTTTTACAGCAACAGGAAAACAGAATTTATTCACTAGGCAGATTGACAATGATGATTTGAAGATCCAAAGAGGAAGACCGTGTTGGAAATTATATCAGGGAGACAATTGTTCACTCAAAGTATTGCAGATTAAATAAATTTTCTGCTGAACAGTTTCTATTTCATGAATGATTGTAACAATAGGCTGTGTGATGTAGTTATTGTAATAATTTTGTTTCACCTACGCAGATTGTTCCTTAGCAACCATACTACCACCAAAGAACAGGAGACCTACCTTAAGTAATTAAAAGGGATGAGAAATGACAGCCATTGAAATAATGACAGAAGTGCTTTCATTTCTGCTCCTTTTTGAACAAGTCCTGTGTCATCTTAATTGTGAGCACATTTTTGGATCGTTTAGCAGGTGTGAAAATGAATAAGAATATTTCTTTATATTTATATCCCATGTCATAAGCAGATGTGTTGGAAATCATTGAACGTGTCAATGTCACTTATGATTATTTATTTGGTTCCAGCTATTGAATAAAGATAATGTTCAACAAGTCCTTAGTATTTGACTCGTCTCTGTCAGAAGGAGTTACGTACAATTCCGGCTAACCTCAACAGTCTGAGGTCTCCTCCCATTGCTATTAGGCAGCAAGTTCCAAAATTTTGATCCAGTGATAATAGAAACTTTGCGACAATCGAGTAATTAAAACTAACATCTCCATTGGATGGAATTAAGTCTTGTGCATCAAGTGGAAACTTTTGTCAGTGTCTAGAAAACAACAGATTCGCGATGAGAACGGATTGGCAATCGTTGTTTAAAAGTACAAAGGAGGAGGCCAAGTCAGAGGTCATATACAGTTTATTATTGATGAAGGTGGTACAGTTAGAAGGAAATTTTCAAAGTTGTTTGATAAAATGCCACATAATAGACTTAGTCATACAGCACAGAAACTGACCCTTCGGTCCAACTCGTCCATGCTGACCAAGTTTCCCAAACTAAACTAGTCCCATTTGCCTGCGTTTGGCCCATATCCCTCTAAACTTCTCATAATCATAAACCTTTCCAAATGACTTTCAAATGTTGTAACTGTACCTGCCCCTACCACTTCCTCTGAAAGTTTCCACACAGCATGGTTTGTATGTGGAATGAAAAGTTGCTTCTCAGGTCCCTTTTAAATCTTTCTCCTGTCACTTAAAACAAAAGTCATGCAGTTTTGAACTACTCCACCCTAGAGAAAAGACCTTTGCTTTTCACCTTATCTACGCCCCCTCATGATTTTATAAACCTCTATAAGGTCACCCCTCAACCTCCTACATTCTAGTGGAAAAAGTCCCAACCTATCCAACCTCCCCTTAAACTCAAACCCTCAATTCCTGTTCACATCCTGGTAAATCTTTTCTGAACCCTTTCCGATTTAATATCCTTCCTACGGCAAAATTTGGATTAACGGAGCAATGACTGTGAATACAATTTTTTTTAAGAGACTGAGAGAATGTAATAGTTGCTCATCAAACTGGAAGGAGTAATGATGGCTCCAGGGATAGGTATTAGAATCACTGCCATTTTTTTTGATATTGTTGATCTGGATATGGGCCAAAAGTTTGGAGAAGAGACAAGTTTTCACCTGCGCTCAGCAATAAAGATGCTCAAAGTGGATTAACAGAAAACATAAACTTATGAAAAAGAAACAATTAGCAGATGTAATTTGATGTTGGGTAGTCTGAATTGATGCATTTTTGTAGGAAAACTTAAATTGTACTATCAACTGTGTTAACAGATCCAGGGAATCTCATACACAAATTCTTGAAGATTGAGGGACAAATTGATATGACAGTTTAAAAGAAGTGCATACAGAATCGTGTCAGAGATAGTAGGAACTACAGATGCTGGAGAATCCGAGACAACAAGGTGCAGAGCTGGATGAACACAGCAGGCCAAGCAGCATCATAGGAGCAGAAAGGCTGACGTTTCGGGCCTAGACCCTTCATCAGAAACC